GCGCGGCGTCGGCGCGCCCGACGGCGGCTCGCCGGAGAGGCCTGCGCGGTGCGGTCGCTGCGCCGCGCGCCCGCGGCGCGCGGCGCCGCGGTCGGCGCGCTCGGCGCGCCTCCGCGGAGGCGCCCCGAAAGCTCGGGCTGCCCCGGGAAAGAGGCGGGGCGGCGGACTCGGCTCGGGGGGGGTTCTTGGGGTCAGGGGCGGCGCTTCCGCTGACGACCTGTGTGCACACCGTGGTGGCGTCTCCCGAGGCGTCGTGGAGGCTCGGCCCAGGGACGGTGTGGTGCTCAGCTTGTGGGCGCTCAGAGCCGAACAACTGTGCGCCGTACCGCGCTTGTGCGGGGCCTGTATGGAGGCCAAACATGGTGCGATGCACGGGCGCCGTTCTCGTATCTGGGAATTCTTGGGCCCAGGGGCAACTGTGTGTGTGAAGACCGCTTCTCTCCTCCTTCTATCCCTCTGTCCTGCTACCCTTTCGGCTCAGGTATTGGATTGGATATTTTGCCCGACGTTCATTGGGCCTTGAGGGGAAAAGCGCGCTTTCTCTCCGTCACTTTGTCCTCTACCTACGGACCCCACGGTAGGTTCGACCCTTTGGTTGTCAACCTCCGTTCGCACTCTGCGGGGGGGGGGGCAGACTCAGGAGGGGATGCGTAACGTCGACAGGAACCCGATAGCCCACCCCGCCCAGGACCGTGCGGTTTCGGTACCGGGCGATGTATCGCAGATTCCACGTCGATGTTTCGTCCCTGAGCTGCCCCCCCCTTATCGTCCCCCCTCATGGGCCTCGTCGACGGGGGGTCGTTGTGGGTGGGGATCATATCCAGGCCGTTCGAAAGGGATCCAAGTTGGTGTGGCCAGTGGCGCAACGCCGACGCATCGGCAATGCGGCTTGATGTGAAGCGCGACCGGGCACGCTTTTCCTCCCAGCGCTTGTGCGCTCAGGCCCGAGCTGGGGCCGAGGCCAAACCCGACGTAAGTCTCAGGGAAATTCCCCCGAAGAGTCTTGACACTTGTGTTCAGGGAGGGTGTCTGTGTGTGTGTGTGGTTGTGTGTGTGTGTGTGTGTGTGTGTGCTAGTGTGTGTGTGTGTGTGTGTTGCGTGTGTGTGTGTGTGTTGCGTGTGTGTGTGTGTGTGTGTGTGTGTGTGTGTGTGTGTATGTGTACGCGGGGGGCGTGGAGTGGGCGTCGGGGGCTGTCGGAGAGAGCGGCGAAGGCTTCATTGATGCGGGAACAATCCGTGGCCGACTTGCTCGCGGCAGCGGGGCTGCCGAGGTTCTAGCTGACGAGGCCGCTCGGTTTTCGTGGACCCAGGCGCCTGGAGGAACGAGGCCGCCAGACGCTGACGTCTGGTATTATTGTTCTTTTATTCATTGTTTTGCCGATCGACGCGAACCCTCGCAGCCGCCCCTCCAACCCCCCCATGGAGTAGATATTGGCTGTTTTTTTGGCGCCTGTATCGAACGGGTGGAACCTCCCCCAGAGGCAGCACTCTTGCAAACAGTCGCACCAAGCAGAGGACTGGAGCCAGACCCCCCCTTCCCTCCCTTCTCGTCCAGGGTCGAAGCGCCGAATAAAGACAGCGCTCACTATGGCGCGGGCGCGCTCGTCGGGCAGCGAGCTGCTCGGGCCCCGGTGGACGTCGTTGGTGTTGCCCCGCGGACCGCGGACTGGCCTCGGGAGGCCCCGCGTCGGGGCCCACGGGCTCGAGGGGACCCTGATCCGTGCAACCCTCCTCGAAGTCAGGCCACGGTTCATGGCATGAGTTTGCCTATTGCAGGTCGGCTCTTGTTGTGTTCCTGGTTTGCCTGGCGACCTTCTGATCCGCGCAGCGGTCGAGGCCGAGGGAGGTGACGTTCTGTGATCGCGTTCCGTCCTTCTCTTCCTTGGAGAAAAAAGCAAACTCATCGAAATCAGCCGCAGATTTTGAGCCGACCGCTTCGCCCCCGAATTTCAATGTTGATGGACGCGCGCAGGGCGGCTCGCGGGATCTACCCGGAAATTGCAGTCGCCAGGGTCGGCGTCAACATTGACATCGGGGCTCCGGGTGCGTCGCCATGTCGTGAGATCACTGGCGTTCGATTTCGGGGAAGGGATGCGGTCAGCAATGTCTGGTGCGCTGTGAGCGCAGACGGCTTTGCGCGTTGTGCCCTGCCCTGGATCCAGCCGCCGAGGCCGTTGAGCTTGGCAAGACGCACCGCCTTGGAAACGCCAAGGGACCTTTCGAGTTTCGCGGATGTGGAAGGGGTGGTTCGGGCGGCGACGGTTGAGGTGAAGGAGTGCCGTCCGTCGCATGCATTGCGCTTTTGGTCGAAGTTCCTTTCCCCCTCCCGTTTTTTGCAAAAGAATGCGTTTCGTTTTACGTAAGACGGTGGAGAAGATTCTTTCCGTTCCGCGTGTGGAGAAACGACCGCGGAGGCCCCGCTGCTTTCACGTGTGCGCACCCTGGCCCTTTCTGACGAACCAGCAACTCACACCCATACCCATAGGGGGGTCGGAGAGGGCTGTGGGTGCGTGTTGTCGGATGGGGGTCCCCGCTCGAACGGGAGCGTTCCCCAGGGTCCGACAACCCGCACCCATACCCATAGCCAGTCCTCCTCCCAACGACCCCCCTATGGGTATGGGTGCGTGTTGTCCGTTCGTCACTTTCCAAGAGTGGACATGAGAACTTTTCGCGCGGATCCGCAAGAGCTTCTCAGCTTTTCATGGTATCTGGCCACAGTGGGCCCCTTCTGGGCCATGCTGGGCCGCGCGCGCGGGCGGCTTCGGCGGGCCCGACTCCAGCCTCCGTGGTGGCCTGCCTGGCTCCCTCGTCCTTTGAGTTCGCTTAGGTACCGCACCGTGGTCCCTGGCGTGGGGGGCCACATGCGAACCCTACCCCCTACCCCTACCCCCCACGATTTCTGAGGGGGAGGGTGGGGGGTAGTGGTAGGGTTCGCTTGTGGCCCCGTGGCCCCCTATGGCGGGTTCGGCGACTTCGTCCTCCGTCCTCCCTCTCTTCCCTCCCCTCCCTCCCTCCCCTCCCTGCCGCCCCGTCTCCCGCAGTCTTCCCGCCCTTTCTTCGACCCTCCCCCCCTCCCCTCCCCCCCCCACCTGCTAGGGGCGGGCCAGGGAACTGCGCAGGGGGGGCGGGGGGCGAAGCTCCTCCTTCTGCTGCTCCTCCTCCTCCTCCTCCTCCTTCTCCTGTCCTCCTCCTCCTCCTCCTCCTCCTCGTCCTCCTCCTCCCCCTCCCCCTCCTTCCCCTCCCCCTCCCCTCTCTCCTCCCCTCCTCCCCCTCCCCCTCTCTCCTCCTCCTCCTCCTCCTCCTCCTCCTCCTCCTCCTCCTCCTCCTCCTCCTCCTCCTCCTCCTCCTCCTCCTCCTCCTCCTCCTCCTCCTCCCCCCCAGAGACCGGCGTCCCGCAGCCTTTTGGGGGCGCAGGGGTTCCCGCGCGGCCGCGCGCGCCTCGCTGTGCGGTGGCCCCCACTGTGGGGGGCTGGAGCGCTCCCCTCCCGCCTGCTCCCGCTCGCCCGGAAGGGGGGGATGGGGTGGAGGGGGGGGGGAAGGAGGACGCAGGACGCAGCATAGAACGGTGAAGCCTTCGAGAACGCAACGACGACTATATAATACTGGGCGAGGGTGATAGAAAACCAGCCCTCAAGGAACGCCAAGCAAATTACGGATTAGACCGGACGAGCCTGATCCCAGTTGCTGGGTGCCTGCCTTCCGGGAGCCAGAACCTGGCTCGCTGGCGGGCAGGGTTAGGGGGCTTCGTGGGGCAGGGCTCACCGAGGGCCTCGATCTTGGCCGAGCCCAGGGCAGCTCCGGCCCCGCAAAGCCCACAGAACAGGAAGGACCCTACACTGCAACTCGGATTCCTGGGGGGGGGAAGGAGGAGGAGGGGGAGGAGGAGGAGGAGGATGAGGAGGAGGAGGAACAGGAGGAGGAGGAGGAGGAATGATGATTATAATAATAATAATAGTCATAATAACAATAATATTAATAACAATAACAATAATAATAATAATAATATAATAATAATAATACTAATAACAGCCATATTAATAATACGACGAATAATTTTAACACTGTCACAAATCATACTACACATAATATGACTGCTAAGACGAATCAGAAAAACATATGAGGAGGAGGATAAGGAGGAAACGGACGATGCTGCTGCTGATGTTGATGATGATGAAGATGCTGATGATGATGCTACTGCTGATGATGGTGGTAATGATGATGATTGTGATGCTGATTATGAGGATGATGATGACACCGACGCTGATGGTGAACGATGATGCTGATGATGGTAATGCTGCTGTCGCTGCTGCTGCTGATGCTGCTGATGCTGGTTATGATGCTGATGACGATGATGATGACGATGATGATGATGATGATGATGATGATGATGATGATGATGATGATGATGGTGCTATTGCTGATGATGGTGATGATGACGATGACGATGATGATCCTGATGATAATGACGGTGATGATGCTGCAAATGATGATGATGATGATGATGATGATGATGATGATGATGATGATGATGATGATGATGATGATGATGATGCTAATGGTGATGATGATGCTGGTGATGCTGCTGCTGATGATAGTGATGGATATGCTGATGACGATAATGATGCTGCTGCTGATGATGCTGATGACGATGATGATGATGCTGATGCTGATTGTGATGCTGCTGATAACGATGCTAGTGTTGCTGCTGCTGCTGCTGAGGCTGATGACGATGCTGATGACGATGAATGATGATGATGCTGGTGATGGTGATGATAATGATGCTGATGATGATGATAATGAAGATGCTGCGGATGATGATGATGATGCTGATGATGATGATGATGATGATGATGATCATGCTCATGCTGATGATGAGGATGCTGCTGCTGATGATGATGCTGACGCTGCCGATTATGCTGATGATGATGCTGTGGCCGATGATGCTGCTGCTGCTGATGATGCTGCTGCTGCCGATGATGATGCCGATGCTGATGCTGATC